ATACAATGAAAGCTCTGAGTTTTATTTTGAAAATCTATAAAAACTCTGGAATAATGGTTGAGCAAAGAACTTGAGACATAGTGCTTGACTTGATCATTTTGTCTTTCAATTGCTTAAGACCCAAGTGAAGGCTGAGAAGCCTCATGGTTGAAGGTAATATTGGTAAGTTTGAAAGTCAGATCGGTTCATTCTAATTCGGAGGAGAATTCTTGTTTGAACACATGTGTACTTTTGAGGAGTTGCGTCGATGTTTTCAAAATCTTTAAAACTCTTGATCCATGTACTAGGTTTAGCTTTGCTAAGGGACTAGCAAAGGTTAAGCTTGGGGGAGTTTGTTGACGGTAATTAACAACAATTATAAACCATCAATATAACATGTATAAGGGCATAAAAATAATCACCAACGAAGGTTTATGGGTTTAAACTAACAAATTCCATGAGTTTTGGTGAATCTGTATTTTCTGCAGGGCTTATTTAGAAAACCGTCAAGGTGGACCTACATGTCAAATTTAATCGCGCTTATCCGCAGCAAAACAGACACTAAAAGACTCTAAAAGACTCGAGAGGACTCTGCGCCGAGGCAGAGGCTGCAGGTGGGGCCGGCCAGCCCACCTATAGGCCACCTGACCCCCTGGGCCCACATGTTAGCCCCTCCTTCGAATGTCGGTTCTCCACCGCCTCCTAGGTTGCATCTACGCCGTTCTTTAAGTCGGTTTGATTCAAGGGCTCACGTTGGATGCTCCGGGCTATATATACTAGCCCCTGCCACCCCCAGGCATAACAACTCCAGTCATCAAGTCATTTGAGAAGATAGAAACCCTAATCATTCTCAGAGCTCCACCATATTTTAGGGTATAGCTAGTTAGACTAGGTCTAGAAGGAGGCAAGCAGGCTTCGCTTGGATTCCCAATCTTGTCAAGAGCGTGGTTCGGTATAATCTTTGTACCCCCTCTCTTTTGTACCTCCATTATTTTTTATATGCTAGTTACAATTGTTATGACAATATTAATATTCATCTTATTCATGTTCTTCGTTATAATGTTCATCGTCTACTTTGATTATATGCTTAGTATAGTTGGAATATCATCATGTTCATGCATAAGTTCGTATAGCGCTCACTCTAAGGTACCATGAGTGAGTGGTCGACATTATGTAAGCGTGGTGCTTATACGTTGTTTACCTGCAGATACACCATATATTCTAGGTCATGTGGTAGATCGCGGATGTGACACTCCCGTTGAGTCCTTTGTAGTCTACTCCCCGAATATAGGCGCACGTAGGGTCCGGTTACGAAGGAAGAACAAGCTATGTTCTTAATCTTCCTTAGTAATATCCCTTATGTGTAGATATGACGATGATCTTAGCAATGACTACTAGGTATAATTGCACTAATCAATGTATACTTTGACTTATAATAAAGAATGACTTAGGAATTATTCCTCTAATATTCTACCTGACCATGCTAATGCCATAGAAAGGAGTACTGAGTGATTTATCATTATCATTGATCAATACTTATCATATATCTTATCCTATGACTTACTCCTGTTATGAGTAGAACATTGGTTATGGTTTATTTCTCCATCAATAGTATAAGTTATCAATACATGTCCATGCCAGACCTTTCCTGTGGTTAAAATATAAATAACGATACCTGGAATACTCCCGAATGAAGTGCTACAATGGTATAATTATCTATGCGCTTGTAGATTCCTTTCATTTATATATATATATATATTCTTCCTAGTCACATAAATAAATAAAGAACTATTTAGTATTATTCTAGTAGTAATGCTACGTAGTACCAACAAGCATTTCTGGCACCATCATTAGGGATGACAACTTGTACAAGTGATGCTAGAAGATGTAGGCATATTACATGTGACTACTTAAAACAAGTTACAAGTTAATAAATACCAACATGCCCTCTCTTGGTACTTTGACATATTTTCCATCCCTTTGAGCTAAGCCTTTCCTCTCTCACTCACTTTGCTTGATTGATTCATCATTTGATGAGATTTGACAACATCCAAGTGCATTTGCTTTGAGTGATTGCATCTAGAGGCACTTGGTGATTGTGTTTCGCTGCGGGATTCGCTTGTTACTTTTGGTGGTTGCCGCCACCTAGACGGCTCGGTGCAATAAGGATTGTCGAGCGGAGGAAGGTGCTTGTCTCTGACTTTGATCGTGGTGATTGTGAGGTGTTCTTGATCTTTCCCCGGCAGAGAGCCAAAAGGTACTCTAGTGGATTGCTCATAGCTTGTGGATCCCCATCTTGTGTTGGTTGTGCGGCACCCGGTTGTGGGTTAGGCGTGTGATGCCTATTAGCACATGAATCTCCAAGTGGGTGAATCGCTACAACAGGGACGTAACTTGCCGGCAAGCAAATAAACCTTGGTGAAAAATTATTGTGTCAATTGGTATTCATTGTGTTTGATTTTTTTCTTGCATGGCTCGGTATTGATCCCTCTACCTCTCTTGTATTTACATTTGTTGAGATATCTTGTGTAGAGGTAGCCTAGCTAGTAGAGTAGCTCTCTAGTGTATCATACAAGTAATTAGTTGAATTGCTTGTTTAGGTTGCTCACTAGTGGTAGAATTAGTGACCTAGCCATGGTGTGATTTACTAGAGATCATATAAATTAGAATTGGTTAGGTGGCTTGCAACACAAGTGTAGTGCTAGTGCAAAATTTGTTTCGCCATCTTATTTACTAATCACTTGTCTTAGTGTTATTGTAGATTTTTTTAATAGGCTATTCACCCCCTCTAGCCATTAGGACCTTTCACCTGGCGGACAGCGAATAGAGCAGTGAGAGCGAGGGAGAGGAGGAAGTGGTAGCGTGGCGTCCGACTGCTTACGTGGCATGCCACGTCAGATGCTGGCGCTGGTGTGGTGGTTTCTGGACCTTTGGTGTGCGATGACAGAAGATTAGGACCTAGATGGTCGCTTTTTAAGTTCAAGGACCCAGACGGGAACACCCCAAAAGTTTGAGGACCTAGGGTGCATTTTATTCTTTTTTCGAAGCGGGTGAATTATTTCTACCCTCTCTTTACATTGTTGCTCGTCGTCCTGTTATCTATTTTTGCAATTTAGTAGACACTAACCCACAGATTTGGCCGATATTCCAGACTAGAACCAGTGCCGACCCTATGGTGTGTGGGGGGTGGGGGTGGAGGGGGGGATGCACGGGGTGCGATGGCCGAGGGCCCACGCAGGGGAGGGGCCCAAGCCCAGGTATACAAACCCCCTGGCCCTATAGTCTATTACGCATCAGCAAACTAATGAGAAGAGATGCAGAGAACTGGCCAGCTGGCCCGAGAAGCTCGTCGGCTTTTCTGGCTTTTCTTTCTCAGTTTTCACCACGGGTAGAGAGGAGGCGAGGAACCACGTCGCACTCTGATCGCGACTCGAGTTCGCGACGCACGCACGCGGAGTCGGAGGCGACGAGCCACGGACTCGCGGAGAGCTGGACTGCCAGAGAATGGCGCACGACGGCGGCGACCAAGCAGGGCTCCACGACGACGACATCTTGGTTCTTGCCTTCTTGCAAAATGCGATCACCGATTAGTTGTTTCAGTCCATGTCGAGGCCCTAGGTATTTTTTGTTCATTTTTTAATCCAAATTAATTATTTATATATTATTTTAGATTTCTAGTACTTTGTACTCATATATTCATGTTTTCTTCTAATTTAAGACTTAGGTGTTAGAATTTTAGAATGTTATCTATGAAACATTTGTCGAGGGACCAAGAAAAGAACACGAAAAAGGTAAGAGGATCAGTTTATTCAATCACAAAAAGATGCTATAAATAAGTTTTTTCATCTTCAAGTAGTGTTGTGCCTGAGATTCTAAAGTTTGTAATTATATAAGATTTTATACATGGTCTAGAGGGCCTGACGCGACGAGTTCGCCAGAGGGCCCTCAGAATCCTAAGACCGGCACTGACTAGAACAAAATCTTTGGAACTTTTAGTTCAATTTTAGATAAACTTGGCTTGTAATGACACAATGTTGAGACGAGCTCTTCTAAAGAGTTACTCCCTCCGTCCTAAATTATGAATTATTCTAACTTTTTCTAGAGTCAAAACATCTTAAGTTTAACCACAATCACAAAGATTTTTGACATCGAATAGATATACTATAAAAATATAATTAATGAAGAATCTAATGATATATTTTGTATCATAAATATTATTATTTTATTATATAAATTTGGTCAAAGTTAAAATGTTTTAACTTTCAAAAAAGTTAGAATAACTTATACTCAATTCATCCCAAATTGTAAGACGTTTGATTTTTTGACACCAAGTTTGACCACTCGTCTTATTCAAAATTTTATATAAAATATCACTTCTTTCGTCGTGGTTTGGTTTATTAATAAAAATTCTTCAAGAATGACTTAAATTTGACTATATTTACATAATTTTTTTTAAATAAAACGAGTGGTCAAACTTGAGACAAAAAAGTCAATCGTCTTACCATTTAAGATGGAGGGAGTAATTTAGAATGGAGGGAGTACTACATATGCTGATATGCGCATTGATGCATATAAATGTATAGAAGCGTTACTAACTGCAAGCTCGTACCCATCGTAAACGACCAGGCATAAAAATGGATCATTATGGTGGGAGCGTGCGTATAAAAAGTACGTGTCGGACCGCCTTACATTGTTATAATAAGCACGTGTGATCACTCGATTATACAGGTGAGAACACCTGCTGCAGACTGCAGTCACACGCACCAAGCTGTATGGCAAATGACGCCCTGCACACGCGCAACTAACAACACACCGAGTACACATCTAGACTCTACATAGGAGCATCTAATATAAGAAAAATAAACAAACTCATATCCGTACTGTCTCGTCTCTAGAAAGGTTATGCCCTGAATCATCTCCTAGACTAAACCACATTATGTACAAAGGTAAATTCTCTTCCATACATTACAAACTAGGTTTCCATTTCTGAAGTAGTATAAGCAAACACAGATTAGATTTGCTCAAGCAAGTGATTTCTGCACCAAGACTAGGTTCTTGAACATCACCAAGGGGTGCGACTCCAGCATTGACTCCTCCTGTCAACAGAACAACAAGTGAGCGTAATACTGTTCGTATTAGCAGAACAAAGGAAAGAATTTGTAATATTCGGTTAGTCTTGGTTCAAAAATTTAATCAAATAACTTCACCATTTAATGAAACATAAGAATATGCGACAGATAATGTGGTTACCTCTTCAGCTGACAAAATGGTGAACCCGAGCTTCTCTGACCAGATTTGCGCCATTTCAGGGTCAACAGGCGCAGTAAGAAGGCTTATATTCCAGGCTCTCAAATTTGCCTCGATTGACTTTAGGAGAAGTATGAAGTAACCCTGCACAAAGAAATGCCAAACAATAAGACTCAATCGTAGAAGTAGCTGAAATGGTTTCATTCGGAATTATCAAAACAAAACGACATTATCGCATGCCGGTCCTAAAAAAAATTGGACTCCCATACGGGTAGGTGAAGGGACCCAGGGATCAGATATAAGGATGGAGAATTAACATAAAGTGGAACAGCACCCAAAATATCTGCTGATACAATTAATGCTTGATGACTAAACATATTTCAAATCGTTTTCTTTTTGAAAAAAAAAATGTAGTCAGTGACTCATCGACATTCTCTAGTTATGCATTGCTTTCTTTTTTTTTTAGGAGTGGGACATGAAGAATCATATTACATGAGGTACTCGACAATATCAGCTATGGAGTGTCTGGTTCAAGTTCAATTCCACCTTTTTTCTGCACTCTCTACGAGTGGCAATAAGGACCAGTTCTGCAATTTGTTCCATGCGCACTTTCAGAATCGCAGCAGACACAACATGCGTGCTGCAATAAAATCAAAATAGGAGAAGAAAAGTAAGAATACCAGCAACAACAAAAAATTATACTCAGAGGACACTAAAATCTGCAGTTTATATGTGTGCTCTTTTTGTAAAGTTTGCACGCAGAACCATAAAAATGCAAGTATTGAAGGCATAATAGAGGCGTAACTATGAAGACCAGAAGAACAAAATGGCATAATAATGAAAGGCATGGCACGGAAAAGAACCACCTTGCAGTTAACAGTGCACAATACATTCCTCGAAAATCCTTCTCTTGGTCTCCATTTTTGCTGCAACAATGAAGTTTAGATTGTTTACATACTTCAATCTATGAAAAAAAAAGACTACAGGTAAATCAATGAACCCACTCATACATGACTTAAGAGTTGGCAAAATAAGAAAGAACATACCAATTAACCATATCTGAGAAGATGTCACTGTGCTCATCAGTAGATTCCACAAATGCATCCTATGAAGTACAGAGATCAAGGTGAGACTATAGCAGCCAAGAAGCTACTGACAGGCAGATGCAAAATTTATAAGCGAAAGAACAACTTACTTTGAAGATATCAATGACCTGAGGCATGTAGAGTTTGACATCCCTACTTGAGTCCATTCCACTTAAAAGCCGCCAACAAATATTGGATCTTATCCGTCTAAGGAAGGTAATCTCTTCACTGTTTTCCAATCCTTCTTCTAGACGGTCACGAAGCGATTGACATTCTTGGCAGCACAAGAAGCGAAAACACACGTATTCTTTCAAAATTTCCAGAGGCACCTGAAATGTTCAGTTTAATCATTCAGATGTATCATTCACAATGGCAGGCCTTTCTTTCGCCCATATAAGTGAAAAGGTCACAGACCTTCTTTTTTACAACTCTATTGTTGTAACATTTCACATGGCATGGTCTCTCGCACTGCAAATAGTAACAAGAAGGCATAATTCACAAGCCAGCAATCTATCAAAGGCAATACGTTGGGCATAAGCATTAAGCAGAACGGACCTGGTTACAGAAGATAATCGTGTCTGGATCAATATTTCCAATGGTTGTGTGGCCATACCTGACATTATGTAAAGATGCAAATTTTCATATAAAGGAGCTCACCTGATCCTATTAATCTATAGATAAAAAATATTTATTAGTAGTATCTTACCCACAGAAATAGCAATTCTCTGTTTCAACCACTCTTTCTTGTAAAGTCCGTTTCAGGGGAACAATAGGTCCACTGGTAGTAGAAGGTTCTCTGCCACAACCTGTAATAAAAGGAACCAATTGGCACAACGAGAGGCTCAAAATTATTTGCAAACATAAAGCTCAACGATCATTCCCTCATTGCCTAAAGGTAATATAATCAGATCTAAATAACATAGGCTTCAAATAAAAATCTATATGTGACCAAAGAAACAAAAAAGGGCTACTGACTAGGCCAAGTCAGTTCTTTTCACAGGGCAGTGTGAAGTCCAAGCATAATTACTCTGCTCACTTATAAAGATATTGGAAAAATACTGTATCTGCAGAAGGTACATAAACCAAGTTGACTATACACTTTGAACACACAAGAACAGAAAATTGAAGGAATCATTTATACACAGTAGATCACCAGTGCATTCATGCAAGTGCGAAAACACAAAGATGGTAAGGAACAAATCAGGGCTCATAAGTCATAATACAACTTAGTAGATTTAGTGACAAGACTGTATCAAACCAATTAAGTAAAAAACAAAAAAAAAACGTTTTGTGAAGCCAGGATAGGAGGTACCGATGATTGCGGGGGAAAAAGAAACTTCATTTCAACCAAAAAACACTTTAAATCTTTTTACAGATAAAACGCCCTCTAGAACAAACAATATACAGCAATATCGTATCCATCTCAAGACAGTAATAGATGACTTTGCAAGCTCTGGGTACAGCAAGAATGGTAGTAGTGAAGCAAAACAAATGAAGGATGGTAGTAGTAAATCCACCAAGAATATGAGAGCCCTCGCTTGAAGACCACATCACCATCCCAAAAAGTTTCACTGTTCAACGACTCCTTCACTTCAACACTATGGCCAGGTAAGATGCCGCAGGAGCACTGCTTAGTCAGTAGTCACTACACATCATCCTTTTCTCTCTAGAAGTATTTTCCTTAGACAAAAGGCCCTGTGAGTAAGGATATACAACCTTTCCAATCCGCAGGAGGGAATCTAGCAGAAAGATACTATTCTCCTCGTAAAGTGTGATTGTTGTGTAGTGTGTACCATGCCCTGACCTTTGCAGAACTTTTTGCTCACAAGTTAATGTCTTGCCTTGAAAAACTTCCATGAGGGGATTACCTTATTACCCTTCCATCCTTTAGGAATGGCAAGTGCTCAGTGCAAATAGTTCAACATGTGAACACCAGCAGTGCCTCCATGCTTAAAGTTCCATCTACGTAAGGCATCAAGTATCAACCTCATAGTCCTAAAACAGTCCAATTCCTCAAATCTCTATCTCTTATAAAGCTAATCCCCACTACATGTTCCATCTCAACATGCAAAGCCATCCACCTCATCTTCCACTAACTATCCACATCATCTCCCACTAAAAGCCATGTTTCACTAATTTCCAACCTCTTAATGCAACCAATTTTGATAAGAATGGATGTAAGAACATGTAGATGATTTAACTCATATATACAACTATTTTATTTCTAAGAGAGTCAAGCAGCAACGCGTGGGGTATCCTTCTAGTTAACCCAACGATCCAGACCACAAAACCATCGACTGGAATGGTTAGAGACATAAATATCTATCTATAACAAAAGTTGAACAAAACCCAACAAACCGAGCTTAATACTGCAGTAATCAGACATTTGAAAGAAATTCGTTATGACAACTGGCAATCATTAATATTTCCAAAAGTTTGGCTGGTTCGGGCAAGTTAACAGGAAGGGGTAAAGATAAGTCTGGTATGGTCTTAGCATTCACAAAGACCGGCAGACACTTAAATGCGCCCCCACACACACACACACACACACCTCTTTTTTTTACTTTGTCATTAGATAGAATGTAACATTTATTCCTTAAAAACAAGGAAGGAATCTACAGAGTCATCTTCCAACAAGGTGAACTGATGGTACATCATTGCAGCAGGATACTCTCTTTTAAACAGACCAACACAAAGACATCAACCAATATATGCCTGAGCATTCACAGAGGGTGCAGGCATAGCTGCTAAACATGCAGCAAACCGAATAATCTGCACTGGGTAATTTAATGAAATAGACACAGACCTAAATAAGCTATTGGTTATTACAATGAACCTCAGAGTACGCATTACACAATACCCATTAAGTTACCTAATGAAGAAGTAAGGTTAGGGTAGTAACTGAAGCTGGAAACACTAGCATTGTCAAATCCATTTGAATTCAAATGATCTTGCAGTTGCAGAGCTAGCTTATGAAGTGTTAATCCTTCTGATGTATAAATGTTGTGATACCTGAAACATAAAGTTTTCACCACTTAGATGAACTTAAACACCCAAGAACTCTTTTTTTAGGTCTAGATTATTACAAAAAGTTAATTGAATGCCATTTTGAACTTATAGCTCTTCTATGAGTCATAAAGTTCACATAGGCACAATTTCTTCCCAAAAATGGTGGTGCTTACGGTTGCCGTCTTCTCCCCATGCCAGCATGTTCTTCAAAGTGTGAAGGAGTAAACTGGAGTCGAAAGAGAACAGCAAAAACATCAACTGGTCCTCATGCAGAATAATTAGACCCTAAGAAACAAAATTCGCTGATTGCTTAGTTTTGTACCTCTTGACTGCAACAGTTACAGATGATACCTGTTCCCCGCTTATACCCTTGCTTTAGAGCCTAAAAAACAGTGAAGCATGAGTCCTCTTAAGAGTGCTACAGATTCAGGTGATTGCGGAAAAAGGGGCCAATATAGTTCACATAAATATCCAGAGCACCTCTCCACTCTTCAACTTGTAAGTCAACAAAGTATTATCTGCAAGGCCACCCTCCTTGAAAATCAGTGGATGCAGAGTGGTATCCCTGAGGAAAAGGTAGGCTGTGTATCATTTCAAAATGCCATGTAAAAGAACACCTTTCGCCAGCTTTTGCAGAAAGATCCCTTTAAATGTTACGTACAAAAGACTTAATCTTTTACCTTGTTTTTGATTCTTTTGACTTTAAGTCTATGCTGTAGTTTGGGAGTGGCCCTTGCGCGATTGTTACTGGACTTGATAAAGAAAGCCCTAAATTTGTGGAATCATGTTTACAGTAGTTAGGGCTTACTGCAGTAGGTACTGGAGAATCAGACTTAACACCATCGATGCTGAGAGGGCCTTGTGTGTTCTCACTGCGAGTTTCTTCAGTGCCTTTCTTCTCTGAGGTGCCAATAGAGAGACCAGAAACCCCTTTGCCTGGGCTTCCACTAAAGGTTGGAGTTGAAGTCTCACTGCCTCCTTGTCTAAACTGTCTCCCAGACCGCCTTTTAGATACACTCCAGTTAAGGTTTGAGATGCTATTGCTGGCAGATTCTTTCAAGTAGTTTCTCAAACTATAAATCATCTCCCCCGCAGCCAACCCCCGTGAACTAGTAGTGGGGTTTCACAGCAAGGTGAAGTTAGCATGAGGAGCATTATGATCATTTAAATGTAAAATGTAATTGACTGCAAATTGGTAGTACACTTCATCGAAATGGTGAAAAGGTTTGCTAAAACAGTTAAGAGATAGAAAAATAAATTAGCAAGGATAGGAATGGTCAGTTCAAAGTTAAGAATCAATTCTCACTGAAAATGCATCCCACTAGCTCAAGCCATCCCTTGCAAGGTTTATGAGCTTACCCAGCATATACAGAAGCTGAAGCCCCAAAACAATAGTAGGTAAAACTATGGATGCATATATAGAAAATAGGAACATAAATAGGTCTTGAAATAACACGGCACGGCATATAGGTATTTATAAATCTGAACTTAAGTCTTATTGAAATTTTGCAATGCAACCTACCTCTGAGTCGAACAACCATCTGAAGCCACAGCATCTAAATAATCTTTCCTCTTTTGAAACGAAGCTAAATGATCAACAAGATGGAAGATGGGACAGGGGGAAAATTAGCACATTCTGAGCAACGCACAAAACCAATAAATCCTTAGGTGCTAGCTAAAATACCTTTCCACTTGTTATACTCATCCCAATTAGGAGTGAAACCAATCTTTTCTTCAATGAAATCCCCAAGCATGTTAAGCTTACAAGGTTTTAGTGCTTTCACCACCCTGAATAGAGAAATCCCAGTATCCAAGAAGATGTGATCATTCTGGTTGTTGGATGACTGACCAGAATGTGCCTCAAACTCGCATGCATTCATAATCTAAAATTTATCAGGCATCATGAGGTCAGGTATCAGACAATTTACAAAGAGGCGTAGAACTTATCATTGATGCAACACAAGCAGTACCAGAAAGCTTACATTACTACTGTAATTACACTGTGGGCAGCCACAAGAATAACCCTGTCCATTTATACGTCCAACGTTCTCCACCTAAAGATAATCAAAATGAAGCATAAATGTTGTTCTTGAGATATAAAACCGTAGCCGTAGGTTTCGATCAGTTTACTGAATCAACAATCCTAATGCCAGCAGGAACAACGCACACCTCATCCTTCCTGTAGGTCACCCTGAAACCTTCAAGAAGTCCAGTGGACAGCAATCCTCTAACATCTCTAAGGTCACTGTCTAGCTGATACTTCGTTTCTGTCACTCGCACTTTAACATCATGCATCACAGGGTCACCACCTGTTTCGTCTTTGATCTGTTCTGCCGCAGGCCCTTCAACGCCGCACATAGTGTCCGACTCAGTCGTGGAACTGCTTTCCCTGCTTAAAAACAGAAGCAGAAGAGACTCAGACTGGAATAAACCTGCAACGAGTACTAATAGGGATAATTGCATAAATACTTGTCTGATTCTGCCAGTTTATGATTGAACACATGTCCCCGAGTCCCAGTGAAGGTCTAACCCTTCGCTACGAAATTACACCATCGAATAGATAGTTGCCATAACAAAATCGATCAGTGGAATCGCTCACTTCGAACCAAGCAGACACAAGCTGGCCTTCTCCTCCTCGGTCAGCATCACCACGTCTCCCCGTCCAGGCGCAGGGGCCGAAGGGGGCTCCGCCGTCACGCCGTCAACCTGAACCCCGTTGGGTTCCCAGCTCGCGGGCGCGCCCGCTTGCTGCCCCTGCGGCGCAGACGAGGCTTCGGCGGCGGGCACAGGCATGGGTACCCCGGCGGCCGCCCGGAACTTCTCCGCGAACGCCTCGGCGGGCACGTCCCTGAGCTCGTGGAACAGGTCGTAGAGCGACTTGCCGTTGAGGAGGAGAATGTGACCGTTCTGGTTCTTCGACTACGCCCCCGCGTGCTTCTCGAACTGCCGCGCCGACAGCACCTGCGCGGCGCGGAGAAGAAAAGCCTTAGAATTTCCGCGCAAAAACCACAGAACCGGCGAAGTGTTCCGAAACAGATGGACATGTGAATGTGATCGAGCAGACTGACCTTGCCGCGGTAGCCGCAGCAGGCGGAGGTGGGGCAGGCGCAGGCGGAGCCGCCGTCTGTGACGAATCCCTCGAGCCTGGCCTGCGCGCGGAGCGGAGCAATAAAAAGAAGCGGCGGTGTTCGGGTGGCCAGAAGCCCAGAATTCTTCACATTTTTTTTTCGCCGAAACGTAAGTGACTCGTACGTGGAACAAGAATGGCAGTAGATCCCTGACGCAAGTGATATTCGCGCCCGACGTAGTAGAACGATCACCCTGGTGCTTCTGCATTGATTTGATAGAAAAGAGGACCGAGGTCGGCGGCGGCGACAGAGAGGAGAACGGCGGCGGCTATGGTCAGTTTAGTTCTCTCCCAAAATACCAAATTTTTTAAGATTCCATGTCACATCGAATCTTTAGATGTATGCATAAAGCATTAAATATAATATAAAAAATAAAACCAATTACACAGTTTAGACGAAATCCATGAGACGAATCGTTTAAGCATAATTAGACTATGATTAGATACTAATTGTCAAATAACAACGAAAAGCGCTACAGTGTCATTTTGCCAAATTTTTCGGCATCCAAACGGGCTCTAGGGAGAAAAAATTGCAAAAATGACGCTTAAAGATTGAGTCTTTAATTACGATGATACTCGATGGATGACAAGTGAATATATCTATATCTATAAATATGGATCCAATGTAAAACCTGCAAATGACTAATGTTTCAAGTTCTATTTTTGCAAAACGTTCAGCGTAAGAACAAAAACGTAAGCTCTCCTATATTGAGTAGAAAAGAGGATTAGGAGGACGGAGGTTGGGGACGTCGAACATAGCAAGAAAAAGGTTAGTCCCCCCTCTCACCCACACACCCACACACCACTCACCCCCAAGCGGGTGGATTAAAAGTACATCGAAATCTGGGGAGGGGGCGGGGAGAAAATAGGCTCTTGTATTTCTTAACCCTATTTTAAAGTATAATTTTATTTTATATTTATTTATTTAGCTTCAGGATTTTACCTTTATTTTTATAAAACGCGGAAAGAGTTTACTTCTTCTATACAGAGAACTTATAGCTTACTAGTATAGTACCCGTGCTAACGCAACAGCTTTTTTTCAGGGATGCACATAAAAACAATGAAACGATGATATTTTTCTTCATAGTTTAAGTTTCACGCAATTGTACGACCATGTATATAATCCGGAAAACTCTCATGTATAACACAAGCCTAGTAAGTCAAACATACACATGTTTATTGCTCGTGCTAACGCTACGGCTACATTCATACATACACATGTTTCACCTGGGGATAGCCGCCGCCACCACAGGATGGGAGACCACCAACCGCCGTGGGTGCCCCCACGGGCGCCCCCACTCAGCCTCGCCAGAGCCGCGAAGCGCCTCACTCTGCCATGCCAGCCGGTCGCTGGCTTGCCGCAGCCTCACCCAGCCAGCTGCTAGGTGGCCACGACCGCGTTCTTCCTCGCCCTTGTCTTCCAGTCCACGCCGCCATCAGCCACATGTATCACAGTAGTCATTTGAAGTGTATAGGGCAACAGTGTAACGTAGCACACGCATAGCAAGTGGATACATTAGATATTTTTGGGATGACATCAAACTATGAAAGGGCCTCAATAAATCATTAAGCATCATGTGTTAATTTTGGCTCTCTGTGTCTATTTTCTGTTTTTTTTCTGGTATGGACAAAGTACTTTTGTATGAAGCAAATTATTATGTCACTGAAAGAGGCAAACTCTATGTCAATAAAATCATGAGACGATGGCCTAGAAATACTTACCTTTCCTTTGCTTCCACAAATCAGTGGCCACACGCATGACTGCGCCAGAAGATATGTTACAGAACATTAAAGGGTCAGCTAAGTCAGCATAATAATAAATTATAATGTAAAAAAAAGAAGTTTAACTTTTTGCATGATGAAAGAGGTGACAAATAACACCAATCAATTAATGGCCAGGGCTCTTTCTATGAAAATTGTCAGCATTTTAATATGCTGACTATAGAAGAAGGATAAAGAGGTGGCCTAGAAATAATTACATTTCCTTTGCTTGCACAAATCAGTGGCCACATGCATGACTGCACCAGAAGAAATGTAACAGAACATTAAAGGGGTCAGGTAAGTCAGCATAACAAATTACAATGTAAAAATAAAAAGAAGTTTTAGTTTTTGCATGATGACCAACAATAAGAACTTTGAATATTTCTAGACATTAGAAAATAATGGAGCATAACACTATACTATTTTTGAGCCACCATTCAGATAGGAGAGTCTTTCATTGTGCTCCCACAGTCCAACTCCACGGCAGGGAAATGAAATTGATAGAATAAGAACCTGAATGATGGGATAGAGTAAGCAAAACCATCTGCAAATTTGTTTTAGGGGCCCTTTAGATTCTTTTATTGTGGAGAAATTGAAATCTACTTAATAGATTAGGCTATTTAGCTTGAAATTTGATATTTTATAGCTTTCTCAAGTTCACACTCTCAAATTCATAGGGTGGGAGATGAAATGAATGCTATAAATCACTATGTTATAATTCTACTCTACTCTCTAACTTATAGCACACTCTTCAACTCACTTTCCTACAATAGAAATGTATTATATAAGTATATCCCTTGTATACCTAACAATAAATAGACAAATATATTCCATATACAACTATATTTGCTTAATTAATCTATGTCTAAATTATAATTATTAGTATAGATCAGTATAGCGTATCCTAGGCATCCTAGCAATTTGGATCTACAAAATCCAGCACAGAGTAAAAAAAAAGCAAATAGAAGTTGACATTTCGCTTCAAAGGATGCAGAGATTATAAAGTGAAATGTTATTTTTTATCAAGGCACATTGTATTAAGGCCCTATTTAGTTGAGCTGTGACTTTTAGAAAAGCTGCTGTGAGCTTTGAAAAAACAGCTGTGGAAAAAGCATAAGACCGTTTGGTTGAACAACCGCTATGGCTTTTGCAAAAGCTGCTGTCAGCGGGTCTACATATCATACATGGCCCACATGTCATTCACTTCTCTCTTCCTTGTCTTCTCCAGCATGCTCCCGTTCGCCTGGATGAGGCCGCCGGCCGCCCGGCCACCATGCTGCGCGCTAGCTCAAGGGAGAGGCGGCCACTCCGGCTTGCTGCACATGTTGCCCTGCCACCGGCCAGAGAGGGAGGGCGTGCCAGCAGTGGAGCTCGCGCTCGCTCTGCAGATCGACGGAGATGGCACAGCTGCAGATCGACGGACAATCGAACGGATGGGGCCGAGGACCATGAGCATGGATCAAAATTAGGAAGGATTAAATCGAAGCTTTCTCGAAGAAAAAAGAAAGTAGAGAAGCAGCCAATCTGCTGCTCGTAACTGCAGGAGGTACGAGATGGCTTTCTGGATCTCGTGACCACGGCGTGCCGGTCTCGCGCACCTGCCGGGCGTAGACCTCGTGGACTTCGCGGATGTTGCGCTCGTGCCGCCAGGAAGGGAGGGCCAGCCTGGAGTTGTGTCACGGCCGACCGGAGTTGCGCCCGCCAGAGCAGGGAGCGCCCGCCGCCGCCGCCGCCGTGGGATTCCCCTGTCGAGCGCGGCAGCCGGCCGTACTCATCGCTGCTCGCCTCGGTCTCCCGCGCGTCGCGGTCGGGGCAGTGCCCGCTGCCGGGGCCGAGGTAGAGGCTCGCCGTCGCTAGAGACCACGCTCGCTCGCTCGCGACCGAGGAGGAAGACGAGTTGCTGGGGAGAAACAAATCGAACCGGGCAACCGAAATCAATGCGAGCCTGACCTGCAGGCGCATGTGCATGGCAGGTCCGCGGGAGGGTGACGGAGGACAGTAACACTAAACATGAGCCGTCGGATTTAGATGAGTAATGAGAGAGAATGGCTAAAAGATAATCTGGTGCATCCGTTTTGATGGTGTTATATTTTCTGGATGCATTCATGGGTGTGGATGTAGCATAGGTCATGACTATGGAGCAGTCATTTGTTGTGTGGCTGTAGATTTATTTTAACTGGTGTATTATAGGGTGGGGTAGAAAAAAGGCTATTTTTCTCCATGTGAATTTGATTCTACATTTTTTACTATATGCGATTTTGGCATCAAATATTTATTGCCCGATGACTTGTTAATAAATTAGGACACTTCTAAGAAACAACTAACCGTTTTTATGCTTCTCGCACGGCCGCCGCCTTCTTCGGCGCCAGCGGCTCTCTCTCCTCCACCCGCTTCCACTTCGGCGCCCCTCCTCCTCTATGATGGCCCTCGCCCCCGCCGCGACGCGCTCTGGCGAACCCTAGCGCACCCGCAGAGGCCGCCTTCCCCCTCCCCCTACCCCTTCTCGCCGAAGCTCCGCCATGGCCATAGAGCTCGCCCCACCCCGACCAGCCCCCCAGCCGCCTCCACCACCGCTAGGGCCCTTGAACCGCCCTCTGGCCATCGCATCGCTTGGCCGGCCTTCCTTCCCCAAACCTTCCCTTCTAAGCTCGTCGGAGTTGCCGAAGATGAGAGGGAGATCACATCAGAACCCTAACTCGCAGATCTAGGAGGAGGAGGAGTCCTACCTCGCCGACGCCAGTGCCCTGCCGCTGGAACTCGCCGCCGTCGCCAAAGGGGAGAGAGAGGGAGGAGCCGCGTGGGGAGGAAGATGACGCCGCATTGGGCGCGAGGTGGAAGAAGGAGCCGTGTGTGGTAAGAGTCGAAGAGACGCGTGCGCTGCATCAAAAAACTGGTCGACTGTGTTTAAGTCATTACCAATTAATTATCATTAGATAATTTTGGTTCCGATTGCCAAAAAAAGGGTTTTATGTTCACACCCAAAACTAACTAGCGGTACAAAGGGCCTGTTTAGTTTGTTCCCCATGGAATCTACTTGGCCCAGGCATCGCTCCTAGACATCCGATTTAGGATGCCTAGGGCCTGCCTAGCAGGGTGCAAACCAAATATGCCCAAAATGCAAAGCATGGATTATCCAATGTGTGCATGTCAGATGGCGCCAGACTATCTTCAAAAGGAGTTCGAGAAAGACTCACTTTTCATGTTTGTTTTGGGGCAGTTTCTCGTGATGTGTTGAAACTCTACTTTCAAGATAGACCTTCCACCCATAAATATAAAAAGGTCACGACCAATTGGGGTATCTAATTGACCAATGAATTGTTTTTGTCTTTACTTTTTACTCTCATTTTGCCCTAATCTTCTTCAAACCCTAATTTGTTGTTCTACGAGCTTTTCAATGGAGTTTGTGGGTGCTCTAGGTGGCCTTGCTAATCCTGGAACAACCCTAGGT